AATAGCATAGCAGCTACAGAGGCAACTGCAGGAACAAAAGTGTGACTTCAAGATTGACAGAAGTTGTAAAAGATATTTCTAAATCTACTGTACAGAATTCGGTAAACTCAACTACAGAATCAATTTCCAATAGTGAAACTATAACTTCAATACCAGTGGAAGATGCTAAGGAAGTTTCAATGACCACTGTACATACTCCAAAAAATCCAGTTATAGAAGGAATTTCAGAATGTAAAGATACAGTTTCAAAAACAATAGAAAACTCGACAGAAATATCGAAAAATTCCACAACTGTGGAAGAAACACCAGCGTTTAAAGCTATAATTTCTGGACCAATAGAGGCTATAGAGGAACCAAAAGAATTTACAAAAAGTCAATAGCTCCAGAATCTAAAACTGCCACTGCGAATGAATATAGCGATTTTCATGAACAAACGAAAGTATCATGCGAAGCTTCTAGTCCAACTCGAAGCACTTTGACGGATAATGTCCTAACAAGAAGAGAGAGTGATCTGTTGGAGGCACCAGAATATTTCAATTGTCCTCCAAGTCCGATTCATTCTCCAGCAAAAACCTCTGAATGGAGAAATGAATGGCTAGCGAAAAATGATGAGATTCTAAAGAGAACTGTGGACTTGAGAGATTTGAAGACTTCATCGAGAGAGGCTATAGAAGCAGAATTGCGTAACGAAGTAATCAGGCCGGATCCAAGACCTGATTGGGCCAGACCGAGTGCAAACGCAAAAAGAAAAGAAATCGCAATAGATGACAAGAGAACAGAACTGCGTTCACCGGAATCTGAATTGGGTCTACCTTCCGTAGGCACTGACAGTGCTTCTTCCAGCATGAGTTCACCAAGTTCACCTTCCAAGGATAGCAAAGAAGAAAAAGCAGAGAAGGAGATGTCGGAGAAATATCAGACAAGTAAGCTATTATATTTACGAAAAAAATTTTGTGAGACCAAAAAATTTTATAATGAAAGATTTTATAAGAAAAATATATTGAAATTCTTTACATATTGAAATGATTATTATAATTGATAAAAATTGCTTTGTAATATTATCTTAAAATTTTCTTTGCCTTTGCTTTAGTTTAAATAAAACAAAAAATTACTGGAGAATTTTAATAAAATATTTTTTAAAAGAATATAAAAAAATACATATATATTTATTTAACTTGTTAAATATAAATAATTTATATTAAAAATAAAGTTTTACATTTTTGAGAAGCATCGGTAAAGTCAGATGATTTCTGATGTAGACTAGGATGGCAGTGTGCCAATGTGCCAAAAAGTAAAAGTACAAAATGCAGCACACCCCTCCATCTTTCCCTTTTCTACTTCCTTTACCCCTACCACCTCTTCTTTTACTAGTGTGCCACAGTATTATTTATAGAAATCACTGTCTAGCAGCCAAACGCTCGTGCTTTATCGCGTTTACTATGCAAAAGTATCTCTGGAGCTCTTTACAGAATTTTGAAATTTGAAAATTATCAATGTTGTGTTCCAAACAGTTTTGTTCAAACAGTGACTTACTTGAAGACAGAATAAATTATGACTTCATTAAACTTCAATTATACTCCATAAAAATACGAAGAGTAAATTTGTAAAACATTTTGTGTGAATATATTAATTTCAAAATTGAAGACAAAATATATTAATTTGTTAATAAATATACACAAGGAATATTTTTGAATATTATTAATTTGATAGAAAAGGAAGCTGTACATATTTACATTAGAGTTAAATTGAAAAAATAAAATGTGTAAATAAATTATAAAATAATATGAAATAATATTAAATTTTTATAATTTGGATATTTCTTTATATTATAAATTAATTTAAATTAAAGAAATAATCTCTACAAAAATTTTTTATAGAAATTATATATAAACATATAAACGTTTTAATAATCTGAATATTATTTACTATTTAAATACGTGCAATTAACGAATAAGATAAATTATCTTAAAATAAAATTAAATGCTAAATGATATTAAATATATCAGATTTCAATGTAAAACTTCCTGAGTTTGTCAATTACAATTTGATTAATTAAAAGCTATACTCTTGCTGAGTACGTGATCTTGTAATAGAATATAAAAGTTTAGTATTCATATATGAAACGCTGCACCATATTTTGTACCAATATTTTTATATCTATATCAGAACTTTGCTCTAGCAAAACATAAAATTATGTGCCTGCGATTACTTTGCATCGATTGTGGAGGTACTTTAATCGATAAGCTATTTCAGCATTTTAGCATTAAGTTCAATATTGTTTATTTGTTATTATTGTTAATTTGTTTTCAATTTTAGGTCGTAGTAGTTATGACTTGGAAACAGAAGATCAGGATAAGTCAGCTACATATCAGAGTTGTATGACAAGCACGGAGAATTTTACCGAAAAAGATCAGTTCAAGTTTAATGAGACAGATACTACCACGGTCATTCGACGTTCTCATGTACGTCTTGATCTCCAAGCTGCAGGTCTCGGCCCACGTCCACCTTCTGTCATTAGTTCTGACCAGGAGTATCCGCCATTAGAACATAAGGACATTCCTGTGCCTTCCCCATATGCCAAAAAGTTACAGCAGAATGAAGAGATTGTTTTGCAAAGTAATGTTGAATGTAAAACTCAATTGAAATCAAATGCAGAGGCAAAGAATCACAACAGTACTGTGGAAGCGATGAAAATTAATACCACGTCTGTAGAAACTATGTTGGAGACAAAAACAAAATCTAGTAATGATGGACTATGTCAAAAAACAGTCTCGAATGCAAAAAATGATCAGATCAAAATCAGCGTAAGAGAAAAAATTGCAAAGAATAAAGAAGAAGTTTCTGGCAAGCGCTCTAGTTTTGTCGAGACAGAAAGCAAAGCTAATAGTGTAGACAAAACAACCATTCGTAACCAGGAAGTGAATAATTTTGGGCTTATCTCGAAAGAAAGCAAAGACGAGGAGAAATATATAACAGAGATGGCGAAATCGGAAGTTAGCAGCAAAAAAGAATGTATTACAACAGTGAATAGTGTCTTAAGCAAGAAACTAGAGAAGGAAGTGGATCAGCCTCAAACAACTTGGGAACAAGAGAAACAGAAGGCTGAGCTAGCGAAACTTCGGTTATCGGAAAACAATAATCAGGGCTCTTCGCTGGCATCTAGTACGTTTTCGCAAAGACATTCCAGCAAAAAGTTCAACGAGCAATTTGTTTCGGAGAGTGGTCAGTTCGACGATAGTGATTCTAGTGACACAAAGACTGTTACAAACATAGAATGTACGGAAAAAGAAATGCAGAATAACTCTACTGGAATTACAGAAACATCATCAAAAACCAGTATTAATCATATCACTCCCGTGACGCCAGATACTATGACTCCGGACGAAGCTGAAAATCTATTGAGCTCTCGGTAAATATATAACAATTAAGAAAAGATATTTTTGTAGTCAGTGTTAGATTATTTTGAAATTATATGCAGAACCAAGAATTTTAGAGAGAAAGAGAAAATTACCATTATTTCCAGAATATTTAGTTTTATTAAAAATGCATACAAATGAAAGATTCTTTGAAAATGTTGTCCTTATGAGCTGCTTTTAATGTATAAGTTTTGCATTTTAATATAGCAGTTATATTTTTTATAGCGTATTTAATAATTTAATAATATATTTCTTTTGCTACAATCCTGCAACTTAAATAATTTGATTTAATATTAATAACTTTTTTTTTACTTCCATTCTAATATGTTCATGTTTACTTGAATGCAAATCTGCTGATTGTCCTGGTCTGTGCAGCATATTAGAAAAGAAGATTAGGTGAGTACATTTGCAATTCTGTAATTTAATAACAAAAGCAGATATATGTTATAATTACAAAATATTATATATATATTTTAATAAATATGTTTTAATAGATTTTATCATTTATTTAAATGATTCAATAAAAAGATTGATTATCTTACGGAAACCGTTTAAAAAAAAAAGAAATTTTTTTGAAAGTTTATCAAAAGAATGATTCAAAGTTCTACAGATAAAATCAATAATTATAATAATAATATAGAATATACAATAAAATCAATATTAGATGTACATGTATAAATTGTATACGTATTTAATAACAATAATGTAAAATAGATATTTTGATTCTTATTTAGATCCTCTTTAATACAAATAATAATAAAATAGTGTAAAATAGTCAAAGGGGAAATATGGAATGTACTGAAGGTAAATGGCGAAAATTGTCTAATATATATATAAGTTATTAGCCAAATTCATTATATAAAGTCAAAAATTATTTGTGATTAGAATTAAAAACTCATAATAGTTCTTCGATACAAGTAAGGATTTTGTGAGGAACTTTACAATATTTTGTTAAAATGACTATTTAATTTAGAGGCCAGTATTTACTTTTTTTTTTTAATTTATTGTGTTCTTTAATTCTCACCGATTTGTAATTTTGATTTTGTATTGAGAAGGCTCCAAACAAAGATTGAAATATCTATGTTATTGTATTGTACTGTATTATATTTAAATATTTATAATATATTTTACAATTTACACATCTACATCTGTATTAACATCGGTATTAACTTTTATTAGCATTATTGTAATTAAAAAGTTTACATTGCGATATGTTTCATTAAGATATTTTTTTTATCAGTTTGTAATGAAGATGAAAGAAAATATATTTTAATTATCCGTGTTTTAGTATTCAGAAGAGAATAATATATGGAATAATATGTGGAAAAAAATGAAGACAGATAAAATTTATTTTTTAAATTAATCATTACAATTAGATATATAATGAGATGTTCAAGATAATGGAAACTATTTTTCTCTCTTCGACGAATAAAAATTTTGAATTTAATTAATAGCCTCGAGGATGAAGGGATATAACTGCTTTTGTTATTTAACTGCAGAATTCGATCTCAGCGATCATATAATTTGTTTGCAAAGTGAATGATTCGTAAACATAAATTAGACAAGGTTCGGCGTTGCTATCAGACGAAGAAGCGCAGGAGATAGCGAGGTTGTTGTCTCCCACCAGTGCCAATGATGCAATAATAGGTGATGGGATTTCTAATGACAAGGATAAGGAAGGACAGGACAGGGATAGAGACGACCAGGACAACACGCCCGACTGGCTGTCCGATGTCCTGTCTGCTCCTGATTCCAGTCTTATCAATAGTGCTACTCATGATTATAGGTGAACGAGCTTATTTCGTCTTTTCAGTTGTATATTTTTTCTTGCATTTTTTCGTACTTTTGTTTCTATATGCTATTTTTATTTTAATAATTTTAAACCAATTTTTGAATTTATATTGGTTTTATATAGTGAATTAAATTTCTGAATTATAGCATTTTTAAAGTTTGCTTTTTGAATTTCCGGAGGAATAAAAATTTTTTAATTTTTAACTTATTTAAAAAAATGTTTCTTGATTTTGTAATCTGGGATAATATATATTTAACTTATCATTTCTTGGACAACTGGTTTCTTAAGGTCCTCAGACTTTGGAATTCTTGCTGAAACTTTTAGAAATTTACATATTCTTCTCTATCTAGTTTCTCTATCAAGCTTGTATTAAATCTATATTTATTTTAGTTTGTCTCATAGGTCTCGTAGTGATTTGACAATAGATTCATTGACGGAAAGCCAAATAGGATCGGTGACAGGAAGTGAGAGTGGATTGCTAGGCTCTGTCAGCAGCTTAAACGACACTCACGAAGCTAACGATGATACCGAAACTGAGCATCAGGACGACTATATTCCAACTCCAGGAAAAATTGTAATATAAATATTATATTAATTTCCCGTTTGTAATCACATTTTTACTCCCTCTATCTGCAATCTTTTCTTTTTGTCTTGTCTATCCAACCTTTTTAGATTTTTGAGAAATTTGAGAAATTTTGTTTATATCGAAAAATAGAAATTGCAGATGAAGGATTAACATTACTTATTATAAAATAAGTATGTTTAATCTTTCAAGTAAAATATCTCGAAAATCATGCGAGATGTTAAGATAAATATTAAAAAGAAAGGATTTATTTTGATTTATTTAACAAGAAAAAGGAGTTTTTATACTCATACTTTAAGAAAATGAAATTAATTGTAAAATTTTCAATTTAATCTTTTAAAAAATCAAGGTTTCTTTTCCTTCTTGAAACTAAATAACTTTGGTTTGAAAAATTGTTTTTTTTCTCTCTTAGTTTTTAAATAATTCATCTGGAAGAATTAAACTAGGACATACTGCATTTTGATTACATTAAAGAATTTGTAATAATAAGAATAATAAATAAGATGATAGAATATAATGGCATCCTATAATTCTATATATTAACTTTTTCTTGATTGAACTAAATCAAAATTGCTAACATGATAAAGAAGATACAATATACAGACACATAAAAGATATAATAATACAGATTCATTAGAAAACAATATGGTAATTTTTTTGTATAATTTTTATTATTTTTACTTATTTTTATTTGTATTATTTTGTGATTTTGTTTTACATATTATTGCATGTTAATTGGAATCGTTCTTTAAGCACTTTTATAGTTAAATTAATGTAGATATTTAATTAATCAGATACTTGTGGAGAATGGCGTACATTATTTCGAGGATGGTCACTTCTGGATGGAAGTGGCAGGAATTCCCGAGTCTGACGAGGATGACGAAGATTATCCGTCCACTGTACCCATCAAGAAAACTTCTAAAGTATCTTTTGACACCGGTCCTATGCGAGTTTATTCTACACATTCTGTCAATGAATACGATCGTCGTAATGAAGATGTCGACCCTGTGGCAGCCAGTGCGGAATACGAGTTGGAAAAACGGGTCGAAAAAATGGAGGTAATTCTAAAAAAATACTTCTTTTAGTATTCTTTATTCTCATAAAATAAAAATAATAGCAGCTTGGAAGTCTTAAGAATAATATTGAAAGAGTAATATTTTGCTGATTTTCTAGTGATTTCACTTAAAATTTTTGAATATTTATATTATGTTCTCAATGATAATTTAATTTTATTTTTAAATAATTTTATTTCGTGATGGCACTCCGCTTTAAGAGAGCCTGCAGAATCTAAAACTGAGAGTTTCTATAAAAAACTCAATCTTTTATTTTAAATTATTTTTATTTAAGAGAATCCTGTATTATAATATTAATATTATAAAAAAATCCCAGGTGTTTCCTGTTGAGCTGATGAAAGGCCCGGAAGGTCTAGGTCTCAGTATAATCGGGATGGGTGTGGGCGCCGACGCGGGTCTGGAGAAATTGGGCATCTTTGTAAAGACTATTACAGAGAAAGGTGCAGCCGCGCGCGAAGGCCGGATTCAAGTGAATGATCAGATTGTTGAAGTTGACGGCAAGAGTTTGGTCGGTGTGACGCAGGCTTACGCCGCTAGCGTGCTAAGGAACACGTCTGGTCTCGTACGATTTGTTATTGGCAGAGAAAGAGATCCAAAGAACTCAGAAGTAGCGATGTTGATTAGACAAAGTCTCCAGGCAGATAAAGAGAGAGAATTGGCGAACGCTGCCAATAGGTAAAACAGTATATTTATTATTATAATATAACAGTATATTTATTAATAGTATATTTACTTGAATTGATTCTTGAATAATTATCGTAAGCTTACTATTTACAATTATAAGCTATTTTAATTGATAAGTATCATTGTAATATGAAATAAATTTATTAAAATTTATTTTTTTTTAAATTAGATATTTTTCTGCATATAATAATTTAATATTTTTATGATAAAAATTCAATTTAATATATTAATTTAATAATAATTGACATACATTCATATAATCATATATGTCAAGATAGTTGATGTATTATATATCAAAATTTAAAACAATTTCATGAAATTATTATGAACTTTTGTATTATGTTTCAATGTAAAAGAAATAACTTTATGTGAAAGTGATCGATTCACAGTTGTTAAATTCTAGATTTAATCTTGACTTTCATCAGTTTCATCTTATTTATATTTTGACTTTATTTTTTATAGCTATTGATTTAGAAAATTTGAAAGTTGCTAATGAAAGAATTATGAGTAATAGATAAAAATTAAGAATTTTTGATACCGAATTAAATTATTTTTTTGCTTTTTAATCTGAATAAAATTAAACAATGAAATTGTTGAAATATCACTTTTAATCAATATAATTACTATGAAGTGATTTTAGCAAAAATGATGAGGTATGATTTTATAAAATTTATGTCATATATGCGATTTGCATTTGAATCTCTTCGATTCAAAATTTTCAAATAATTTAAATTTGGAATATAGAGATTTTGATTTGAATCAAATGAAATCAGATAAAATTAAATTTAAATTTGAATATTTTATGTGTCTCTAGTTATGATGAATAATAATTCATTCTAGAAATTCATATATTTATTTATTCAAATACTTGATTTAATTTAAAATCTTCATCTCTTTTTAATCGAAACATTTCTTGTTGTGTTCCCAATGATGATTTATCCTTGCTCGCAAAAGTTCTGTGACGATATCTTATGGCCACTCCAATGAGTGCCTGAGGCATCTTGGAGTGCTGAGGGAACTAGACATTTTTTATAACAAGCGTAATTTCTTGTGTTATACAAACTTTAGCTGGCGTTAAAAAAATATTCATTTTTTATTAGAAAACTCAACTTCTCTGATGCTTCGCCTGATGGACAACGAGGAAGCGAGGATATTTCTGTTGGCAGTGGGGTGAGCGGGATTCCAGGTTCACCTACGATGTCCTCTTGCTCAGAGGGAGAGACGGCACACAGTCCCATTGAAAATTATTTGTCACCTGGTCGCAGTCGATCTCCGATACTCGGTTCATCCATACAACATGCCACTACCACGCAGAGCGATGTGGACAGTCTAAGATTACTCTTACAAGAGGTATTTCATATTTTCATATTTGTGCTTATATCATTTGAATGTATCTTCTTTCATCCATTTATTTGAAAGTCTTTATTCAGCGAAATCTTTTGCACTTGTTTATTTATGTGTGTATGTGTGGTGTTAGTTTTATCTTTTTGTAAATAGTCGCAAATTGATAATGCATTATCCTATAATGATATTTCCATAATACATAGCGCATATAGTTTATTTCCATATGCGTATGTGTGTAAATTAAAAATGCGTGCGCATATATCACATATGTAATTACAATTGCACAGTATACATTTATTGATTTTCTTTGTTTTTGTTTCGTTTATGCGCTATGCGTGTCGTTGGTTGCTTACAGAGTCAATATAAACTCTCATTAGCGGACGAGGAAGTGGAAAAGCTCAAGGCGAAGGTAATGTAACATGGTTACTTAAATATTAACTAATTAATCATAATTAAATCAGAATAATTTAAATAATTATAATTGAATTAATAAAAGTTATATTAACATAAATAATCTTTAATATCAATAATATTAACATAACATGGAAAATTATTGTACACAAACTATTTTACAAAAACTGAAAACTTATTTTATTTACTTCATTTATCTGTGCTTAGACTTTAGCATGCTTTTTTTTAATTTTTCATACTTTTCTTATGCTTTTCTCTCTGCTTGCAATGTATCAAAATGCATGAAATATTAATTCTATACTATTCATAGCTTGTGTATATAATTTGTGTATATACTTATGTGCATATGTGCATGTATATATGTGTGAGCGTGTGCGTGTGTATGCGCGCGCGCGCGCGCGCGTGTGTGTGTGTGTGTATAAAAATATATAACTATATATTAATGTTTATGTGTTAATGTACATAAGGAATAAAATTTTTTGTTTCTCTATATTTATAATAACTTACAGTAATTAATTTTTTTATATTGCACTATTTACAAAAAGAGGCACAATCACAATAACTTTGACCCTTCAAAATGAAAATAATTTTCAGAAGCATTTTTAGCGAAAAACATGAAAAAAATAGAAAAATAGAAAAAAATTCTCCAATCAACAGATATCAAAATAATTAAAAACAGAAAAAATAAATTACAAATGGAAAAAAATTTCAGTCCATAATCGAAAAGCGAATGCATGAAAAATACACTCTAATAACATGTATTATGAATCATATACTTTATAATAGATTATATTAAATTATATATACATAATTATATATACATAATTATATATATATAAACATATATTATCGAAGCTTGAATCGTTATCAGAATTATCACTACTGCCAAAATCAAATATTTCGTCACGAACATTTTTTGATGGCAATATATCATCAATGTGTCTTCTATATGCGAAGAAGCTTTAAGATCTTTTAAATAATGCGTCTTTTGTCTATCAATCCCATAAGCAAGGGGGGATGTGGAGTGGACCTTGCTTTGCATGGAAAATCGAAAACCTATATGAAACAGAACAATCATGGACTTTGTAACAAATAGAATTTTTTACTATTTTTTCGATATCTCTTATTAAGAAAGATTTTAAAAACCACTTTTATTTTAAAGGGCCAAAGTTGTCTCTCAAAAAAGCTTAAATATTGTACATATCTTATTTTTTGTATTTTTTTTAATAATAAATTTTTGCTAAATGAAAAGATGTTAGCTCGGAATTTGAAAGAAATTGTAATAAATAAAACTTACAAATACTCTTTCTTCACTTCCAACAATATTAATTTATTATGAAAGTTATTTAAAAAGTTTTTAGATAATCTTTTTATATTTTGAAAGTATTTTGTATATTATGTTATTATTTTATTACTAAATCAATGATATTATAGAATTCTTAGAGTTTTTTTCTTCATATGATTGCATGCTTCCATTATTTTTATAACCAATTTTTCTCTTATGCTAATTGATTGAATAAGTTTATTTTTTTAATTTTATTAAACATAAATATTTGATTAAATTGTACAATAGATAATATTACATTTGAGAAATAGGATATTCTTGTGCTTCAAAAGAAATAAATGAATATATTTATTAGAATTTTTTAAAATTACATTTACGCTTAAAATCCCAAATATTTATCACTTATTTTAATATATTTTATATATAATGTTATATACGATGTATTTTTTAATTTTAATTATAATTTTTTTGTATGTTTTGAATAGTTAGTAGAATTAGAAAATAGCGGAGCAGGCAGCGAAGAATATGCAGCCAAGTTACGGGAATCAGGATTACGTCTTCACGAATCGGAAAGGGCATTGGGTACGGCCCGTCAAGATTTATTGACAGCCAGAGAGATGCTATCACAGGCAACGACGCAAAATGCAGCTTTACAACAGAAGTACGCTAGAGCCAGGAGAGCTGCCAGGGAACTACGTACGGACATTGCAGCCAGGGATGAGTTTTATCAACAACTGTTACAGGAAAAGGATACAGAATACAATGCATTGGTCAAAAGTCTCAAGGATAGAGTAAGTATTGAAGATTTGATCTTGGAGAGAACAAGTATTTTTGAAAAAATTATTTCAGGTGATCACACTAGAAGTAGAGTTAACGGAAACTCAAAGGCGATTTGGTTTACCTATACGGTTACCCTACGATAATGCCACTGCTAGGATAGTAACGCCGCAGCTCTCTCGCAGACAACTACCACCACCGCCTTCGTCAACTAGCTGCCAGCTTTCCGATACGGAGACCTCTGATCTTAGTAGCCCAGATGATGGTGATAAGACTGCGACTGTGGAGAGGAAGCTACCTCTGCCATTACCGGTGAAGGAAGAATTAGATCGCGCTGTACCAGCCCATCGTCTGCTGGACAACTCTGCCGGCAAAAGCAAGGCAGAGCTGGCCAGCAGAGGCGGCCTAGCCAATCGTCAGTTGCCCCGACGATCCGGGGGCCTCAGCAACAGTAGTTCTGTATGTCATTGGTCTAGCATTAATCCATTAGGAGCCGCAATTATAATACATGTTGCTCGTTTGAAGACTAAAATTCCAAAATTTAACACAAATTTTAGGAATACAAAATTAAGATTGTTTTTCTTTCAATGATGAAAAAAGCATAAATAAGTTTTTCTTTTAGGATTATGGATTGGACGAGTCAGGTGACAACACAGATGACGATTCATCTTCTAAAATCACTTCGCAAGATAGCAGCAGGTCACCCAACGATTTGACATCCAAACAGTCCAACTTGAGTTCCTATTCTAGTACTTCGTCCATCAGTTCGCTCAAAGGAAAATCGCATATGGATCCTATACATCCCACTACGATTCGACAGCACAGCACCATTAGTTCACAAGTTAGAGCGATGACCGAGCAAAGTTGGCCCCAATCGCAAAAAAGTATGTTTCGATGCATTTTGTATGTCAAAATTTAATTAAATTATCAAAATTTTATTATAATACACATACGATTATTGTTATATATATTGTAAGAACATATTCATAGTCTGTTTTTATTTCAAGATTATTTTAAGTGTTAATATCTAATGCTGATACAGTTCAGTGATTGGTTTAGATCAAATGCTCAGAATTGTCTCAAAGTTTCCGAAATCGGCCAAAAAGGACAGTTAATTTTGAGCATTAATATTTATGCCATAAAAATTATTTAAGAATTTTAAATATAAAGGCTGACTATAAATATCGGCCTAAAATTCAATTTTTAATACATTAAGAAAAAAGAAAATTTATCTTGATAGCTTTGACTGGACCTCCTGCGTCATTAGCAGAACAATTGAAGCAAGTTTTGGCCGAGCGAGAAAAACGACTTGGTGGAAACGATTTCTCAAGGGAAAATTCTAGAGATTATAGTGATCTCAACAATCCTCATAATAATGATCCAACCATGGTCACACATCATCTTGTAGAAGAGATACGACAGGCTGTTAATGAGGCTAATCAAAGAGGTATATAAAAATGTTATAAATTGAATAGAAATGGAATCAAAAGTCTATTAATTTATCAATTGCAACGGTAATATTGCGATTTTATTTTAAATTAAATTTGTTATGTTTCCAGTGAAAAAGGTATCGATTCCACCATCAAATTTAATCGGTAGTGGGAATGCGCCTTGGCATCATCCAGGAAGTTCTCCTTCAAGCTTGTCTTCCGGCGGTTCTGTGAGTCCTCCTGCTGTTGATCCTAGTCCTTTAAAAGTCGGTAATGTCACAGGTACTTGAAAAAAATTTATGTGGTGTGTGTGTGGGGGCGCGTGCGTGTGTGCGTGCGTGCGTGCGTGCGTGCGTGCGTGCGTGCGTGTGTATGTATGTGTGTTGTGCGCGTATATGTACGTGCATTAACACAGTGTCAGCACTAACACTTTAATCACTTAGGAATTTAGATTTAGATTTAAATTAAAATTAAGAATTAGAAAAAAATTCCTTTTAATTAGTTTCTGCAAATTAATTTTTTTTTATTTTTGGACAATGTTTTATTTATTTAAATTTTCTTAAACTTTTAATGCACAATCTTTCATTGACATCTTTTTTATGAGAATATTTGGCACATAACAAAACAATTATTAAAACATGAAGTATGCTAATGTTTAGAATCCAAATAACAATTGATAGTGATTACTAATAGTACAATAAGATCTTACCATACCTTATATTTACTTTCCACCCTGCATGCATTATCAATAGATTCGAGCACAGTTTGGTTGCCCGCTCACCTAAGCGACTTTGGTTTAGGTGACAAGAAGTCCCATTTCTGGCAGAACGCGCCAGTTGCTGATTGGTCCAAAGAACAAGTAAGTATAATTAATTTTAATTAATTGATTAAAAAAAATAAATTTACAGTTAAAGAATTTACTTTTTTCACATGAATCTTTCTAAATATATAACTTAAAAATGAGAATTATGTAAAAAAATTTTTCTAAAATGTAATATTGTTTCTTTTTCATTTTTTATTTATTACCATAACTGTAATAAAAAGTTTAATGCAAATAATTTTACCTTTTGTTTTAATAACTCATATTTCTTTAAAAATAAAACTGCCTTTTCAGGTTTGTCAATGGCTAACGGGAATTGGTTTAGAACACTATTCGCCTCAATTTTTGGACAATGGCATTAATGGAAATAACTTGCTACGTTTGGAATCAAGAGAATTGAAGGCTTTAGGAGTTTACGGCGAAGCTAAAGCCCATCTGAAGCGCAAGTTGAAAGAATTAAGAGCGCAAGCCGATCGTGAGCGTAAAGAGCGTAAGGAAATCGAGCGAATGCGACGGAAAGCGGAAAAAGCTGCAAGGAAAAAGTAGCTTGCAAGTGAATTAAATGCGTTCAGTATCAATTAAATTCATTAGGTTAATGGATATTTTTTTAAGCGCGAAGTGTACAGGGTATCTCGAAAGAGGAGAATTTAATAATAAGAATTTTATTGGGCTTTCTACCGAAAAGTCATCAAAATTATTTATCGAAAAACATTGCAAAATAAATCTTCCATTGAAAGAAGGTTACCAAAGAAATTACTATCACACTAGAAATGACGCCGTCTATTTCATACAGGGTGTCATCTAAAATATTACACACTTTTCTTTTTAAAAGAAGAATATCATATTTATCAAATAATAAAAATTTTACATAAGCATAGCTTTAGAATTGTGCTTCTTTTACATACATTGCCTGTTTGTTCTTTTTTTATTTTTATTCTTTAACATATTTAGTTATTTTCAGACAGTAATTAATATTATAATTACATTAAATAATTTCTAAATTTGAAATTGATATTACAATTATTTCAAATAATTCTTGATAATATTTGAAATTATAATATTAAACTCCCTCTATATAGTATTAATGAAAGTATATTATCTGTACATATTTAATATTATAATTATATAAATTTTTTTATATACTGATAATAATGATTGTATTGCAATTTCTTGTAAAGGAAGTATTTTAATGTTAACTACTAAGAATCAATCTTATTTGAAAGAATTATTGTTTTAATAATTTTTAATTTTTTATAACTTTAAATTGACTTTGATAACTATTAATTTTATCATTAATTTTAATTATTTTCTAATAAATGAGACTATGTAATAATTTAAAATTCTTATAATATTCGAAATTATAATTAAATTTTAACTAAAATTGCGCCTCTTCGGGACACCCAGTATATTCTAGTATTTCAATTGATTCTCCGCTTCCGTTCAATCATAATCTGTTTCCATGAATGAAGGCTATGTATTATGCCTCTGCATTTACTTATTGTCGCCATATTTACATTGTCCCTATTAAGTATTTTTTTCTCAGTTATTAATATTATTTAAAAATGTATGTATATCTATGTATGTTATGTTTCGTATGTATGAGTATGTATGCGCTACGTATATTTGAACATGTATGCAAGTGTGTGTAAAAACTCTAGCTATTTAGTTGAATAGTCGCGTTCTAGTTATACGTGCAAGTTAGTGACCGTTCGATTATTGCTTTAATAAACGTTCTTTTGCAGAGTGAATAAAATCACGAGTCGCTCTTAATTCTAGATGGACTATCTAGAACGCGGAAAATGTGTAATAAGACAATGTGTTATTTAAATACACTCTTTTATAATTGTATATGTACGTACATATAGTATATACTATAGCCACACACATGTAAGGATTCCGATATTTATTTCTACTATTGCGTTTAACAGCGCTTTTTCTACAATTAAGAATCTAACTGTCAAGTAGACGTTTAAACCTTTTGTTTATTCGTCTTCTTCAACTTTAAAATGCGTCGTTAATTATTAATTAATAACTTATTCAAAGTATGTCTTTGATCAATTATGGTGGATTTCTAGATTGTTTAAAATTATTCTATTAAAACTTCCTATAATTGCTAATCATCTAACAGTTACAAATAAATTTTTTTGTTGAATAATTACATGGAACTTTATGTTGCGATTAGAAAATAGAATAAATTCTATAAGAATTTATAAAAAAGAATCTGGAACATTTAAAAATCTTTAAAACATCGAATTTTTATATTCCATACTTTATATCAATAATAATTAATACATATACAATTTATTCATAAAATCTATCTATATTGATATTTTTTAATAATATATCTTAAATATTAGAATATATCATTTAATCGATGTTTTTTTAAAATAAATATTACAATTGATGTACAATATAAATTTAAATGTTAAGAATGTTTTAATATTGAATAATAAAAAGTATTGAATAATATATGATTAATATTCTTAAAAGTATGATTAATATTCTTAAAGTGAATATAAAATATAATATATTAATAATAGACTTTTCATAACAAATAACAATAAACAATTTCTCTTATGTTCAATATATTGTCTGCGATTAAGATTGTCTATAATAGATATTTAATCGTGATGAACCAATCATTGTATCAATTTAAAGAAATCCTTTTTCAAAAAAAAATATAGTATTGATCAGAGATATACTTACACACATAGACCTGTTACTTTCTATAATTAAAATATACTTCTTCATAATTTATACTTATTTACTTAAAATTTGCTCAAAGCAATATCTTTTTCGCATTGAATCAGATGTTAGCAGACTTGCATTCTTCGCTCCCTTATTTCTCACAGAATTGTTAAACGCTCGCAAAAGATTGAAGGATAAGTCCTTCATTGTTGAGCTATGGCAATTCGACTCGAATCGAGTCGCTGTAAATTCTGCGACATCCAATGAACATTCCATATCGGATAGAACAAAAACCAATCTGTGCTCCTACATAAAAAAAATCTCGAGCATGAAAACGCGAAATGGACACTCTGTGAAACCGACGTATAGAGTGACGTTATGAATGAGGATGAGCGTACTTATTTATAGTAACGTTGAACTTTTTCACGCTCCATTTTGGACATTTCAACGGTTTGTTGCGAATAATCGAAAATGTTGAACTTCGGGGCGTAGAATGTAAATATACATATATATTGAAATATGATTAATAACGATAAGACGAGAAGACAACTATACCGATGAGATGATTAATGTGTGTGTGTGTGTGTGTGCGTGTGTGTGTGTGTGTGTGTGTGTGTGTGTGTGTGTGTGTGTGTGTGTGTGTGTGTGTGTGTGTGTGTGTGTGTGTGTGTG